ATATGTACAACCAAAAAAAGATTTTGTATTTCTATAAGTGGGGTCAAATTATGGAATAATTTAAGTGTAGACATGAAAAACAGTACTAGAATTGAGGAGTTTAAATATAAATATAAATGTAAGATAAATATATCTTGAATGTGTCATTCAAGATATATGCAAGAATTAGAGATTTAATCATGAATGCATGAATGAAACACTCTGTTTTAAATTTTCTGTGTATTACTTCTTGGTGAAGAAGAGAATTACCTATGTTGAGATACTGCTTGCAGCCAATGATGCATGAAATTTTTTGTATAAGATGATGTTCTGGGGTAGGACTGGATAAGTCTGACTTCTTCCTACTCCATTCAAACATGTGCTGGGTATAAGCAAACTGATTCTGGATTAGCAGTGGTTGGCTTTGTGTAATTATGTGTGTGTTGATGTCATTTGTTCTGCATGTTTGAAAGAATAAATCAAATCAAAAATCAAATGAAATCAAACAACGCCCACTGTTTTCCTGATCACCTCCTACTGCCGCAGCACCGTGTTGTCAGGGACATCAGCAAAATTATACAGCACCAATCAAATCAGTACATCAGGCAGCCACGGGAACGGCACTGTGATTCTCCTTGCACATGGTTATCAGGGTGACAGGGTGAGTAATACTGTGTCTTCACACAGCATCGGATATACTGGCTGATACACAGTATTTGACGAGCTTGTGTAGATACAACCCAGTTTCATCCACAATCAATTTCTTATGTGCACTCCCACATTCGCTCTCTATAAATCCAGAGGCAGAAAGTCAAAAGACTCCTACGAGAAAAGTTTCGTTTACATAAAAGCCTTTGTATACATGCATCGCCCCATGTATACTGTGCATACTACATGTGCACAGACAAGTCATGGTTAACTGAGTGTCAATTGAGTTTTAACCTATTCAATTTCAATACGTGTTAGAGTTCCCCCAACTCAGATTTCAATTAAAAACCACTGATCAGCCACATTAAAACCACTAGCAGGCGAAGTGAATAACATAACAAGCTTTGACGTAGAGACGGTTAATGTCATTAAAATTGTGCTCGATTCTGCTGTAAAATCCGTTCAGTTTTTTTCCACAGCCACAGAAAAGTTAGATGTGATAAATAATTTTGTAAAGCTACATTTATTTGAAGGTTAAATTTGTGGTTGAGACCTCGATTTTCTCCTGAGGGTGGTGGACAGGAAGCAGAGTACAGCTAAGAAACAGTTAAATAATGATGAATGAGACACTATAATAAAACCAAATAAAAGTTTCATGTGCTCTGTGATGACTTTATCTGAAGGATGTTTTTATACTGGCAGCAACAGATGGTCTCTCCTGGAAAAAAACAACCCTGATATCTCTAAATATACTGCCTTAATTCAAGAACTTGGACAGCAAGCAAAGACAAAATACTACTACTACTACTACTACTACTACTACTACTGCTATTAATAATATCATCCATTAAAGACGAACCTCATGTCCAGTCCATTGAGGAAGAGGATACGGTCGCCTGGTTTCAGTCCATATTCCTCAGCAGGACTATCTGAAAATGGCAGAAAATCAGACGTCAATTAGTGACTGAAACAAGGATAGTGGCACAACCCCACCAGCTAACAGGGTGGACTGAACAGATGGGCTGAACAGGGAGAAATGGTGACTAACGCGATGCTGTCTGTAAGTGTGCATTCAACAAAGCCCATCAACAAACGACATGCTCTCCATGCTAAATCTTATTACATAGAGAAACACGACTGTCAAAACAATCCCCAGTAGAATCTGACTGCTCTGTTCTCATCCATCATCGCCTCCTCATCTGTCAACTCTCTGCCGAATTTGCCTCACACCACATGTTATCTCATCTTTTATTTTTTGGACCAGAGGTTTGGATATAACAAACTCTTTGGATGATTAAGTAGCATGAGCTACACATTCACAGACCAGGAGACTTTATATCCTAGAGCTTGTGGTTTCCTGGTTAACAGTAAAGAATCTGTGTTCAGATCACGATAAGAGACATGCCATCCACCCCCACCATCTCCATATCAACCTCCATAAGGCCCACTGAGTCAGTCCGCTCCGGCTGCTTTGGCGCATGTTGGTGGGAGAGGATGGTGGGTGGGAACAGTGCCGTCATCAAACACACACACACACACACACACACACACACACACACACACACACACACACACACACCTCCCTCTTCACCAAGGAACCTGGCAAACTCCCTCAACACTAACTTCACAGCCTCATCTGCTACTTTTATTTCAGCATTAACAGTTAGTTAAAAAACATTTTACTGCCCAAAGTAAAAAAAAAATACAAATAATTAACACGAAAGCTTTAAGTAGCAATTACCTCCACAAATATTTAACAGTAAGGTTGATTTTCATGACAATACTCTCTCTGGTGAAAAACAACTAGTAGTATTTTATCCAATAGTCCCACATATTACACTGCTGTAACAATAAAAATGGTTCTTTCTGCACTTTGTTGTTTTTACACACAAAATAAAACACATTTATGAGTGTGCTTTAGAGGCGCTGGTGGGTTTTGTCCCCTTCGGAGACAGTTAGCCATTTCCCCATTTCCACGCTTTATGCTAGGCTAGCTGACCAGTAACTAGCCCAGAGCTCTATTAAGTGTACAGATATAAATGTGGTATCCACCCTCTCATCTAACTCTCACCAAGATAATGAATAGGTGTACTTCACAAAAAGTCAAACTATTTCCCAAATGAATAATTCTGATATCTGACAATGGTATCTGTTCACATATCTTGGTTGTTTGCTGTCAATTTAAGTTGGCAAATACATTACAGAGCATGTAGAGTATATTCTGGTCTATTAATTAATAAACTCCAGAAATAAATGGTAAACCATTTGAAAAGCAGGACGTTTTTCTGAGATTCTGTGAAGAAAACCACCAAAGATTACATTTATGCACAAGTAATCAAGTAATGGTTCCTAACACTGGTGAAGTGTGTGTTGGGTGCATGATATCAAAAATATCCTCATTCACTTCAGATCTCATTTGTAGGCAAATTTACATTTGCTTTTCTAAATCATATCTTTTTCAAAAACATCACGACAATCCTCATTTCAGCATGATGTAACTGTATTTAACATATAATTAAACATAAATCAAACAAATGATACACTCTCTAACTCATCAGTGAAGCAGCTACATTAAAATGGACATGTACAAAAGGACACAGATAGAAATCGTTGTAAACAATGAATGTAACAGCACAGTAAGTGTCTGTTTCTGTACAGCACAGCCTGTTCTGAGTGTTTTCCTCTTAACATTTCATTGGTGAGTCAGACACGTCCACTTCCTGGTACATTCATAGTCATACATAAACACCTCCTGATCAACCCCTATCGGCTGACACCACAGCAGACTCACCCACATACAATACACTCGCCCCCACCTCATCAGCAAACAAAGACGAGGCGTCCACAAACTCTACTGTACTGGTTTTTAATAGAGAAGCACTACCTGGAATAACAGAGTCGACGGAGACGGGAGCGTGACCTCGCAGCGTGAAGCCGAAGCTCTTCTTCCCTCTGTAGACACGGACGATCCTGAGGAAGAGGCATAAATGGATGTAGATGAATGATCAAGAAGCATATTTACAGAGCCATGACACTAATTCTTGAATTCCTTTCACACTAAAAAAAAAAAGAATATTTTATCCAAGCTGCTGGTTGATACAGAATGACAGGCAATGTCTTTAATATTCACTAATGGGAAAAGCTTTTTAGATTCGACATTTTACTAGAGAATCCATTCATCCTACACTTCTCCTTTCATAGCAACCCTGTAACACTGATTAGTCAGTTGTAAGACAGTTGATTTACAAACGTTCTAAGAAGCAATTAATCATATAAGTGACTTGTTTAGGAAAATACCAGTTCCACACATTTGGAAGATACCATCTTAGATGAAGGTGGCGTGAGGAAAGACAAAGTGAACTGGTATCTTCCAGCTTGGCTGAACACAGCTGATCCAGGTAATCCGCAGTAGGTAGGGCAGGGATAGTAGGAGACCAACCGGGGCAGGGGCCCTAACTGGGGCATCATGTAACAGCCTTTCTGTGAATGGACTTGGAGCCCAGCTGTCTGTGTGGAGTACAGTAAGTGCTCACTCAAGTCTGTTTGTGCTTCGCTTTGTTTTGATTTGTCACTTCCTGTAGGTGGGCGTCTGAACAAGTGCAGCCCAACTTTGTGATAAAAGCTGATAACAGGCTTTATTTATTTTTTATTTGAGTTTATATAACAAAACCAAACTAGTCCAGCCTCAGCTCCTCATACATCGTTCAGTGTTTTAGTCAACCAGCTTCCAGTCTAATTCTGAACCTACTCAATGTAGAAAAAAAGCTTCCATTCTCCCCAGTAAAAGAACACACCGTGGAACCTCTCATTATATCAAAGATGAGACACTGTTGCTGTCTATATACACCATGTTGCCATGGAAACAATTCAAGACAACACTGTCTTGAAGTGTAAACATGGGGATAGACAAAAAAAGATGAGGGAGGGAGAGAAAACAGACAAATCTATTCTTTGATAGCCAGGGTTACTGGTTGTTATGTAAGATGAGCTAAATGAAGATGGGTGCACTGGGTGCTCTGGCTGTGTGTGTGTGAGAATGGTGCACAGCCTGGCCTAGAGCACACTTGACAACCCGAGCGTCTACAACTATCAGGCTGGTTCCCATCAGTCAGCACCAAATCCTTTTCACCAAATCCTATTCTTACATGTCGCATGAAGCCACTGAGCCCAAAAATATGAAATAACAACCCAGTGAGAACCAATCAGTCATCTGATGTGATACAATATCAACGCCTGACTCATTGTGCAACACCTTCATTATCGGTCTCTCCATCTTTATCACTTTCTTTATCTGCCTATTCTATTTCTCTATTTTTCTCTCTATCAATATGACTGGCCCTCTTCGTCTTTCTACATCTGCATGTCTGTTAATTTCGATCCTTTATCTATTTCTATATCTGTTTCTGCCTCTTTTTCTCTCTCTCTCTGTCTGTATTTCAGTCTTTCTGCCTGTCTATCTGTCCATCTACAGCATCTGCCTGTTTAGTTACTGCAGAGACATAATAGTGTTGCACAACACTCTCGAGGAGGTTTATTCAGCTCAGAGAAGGCATCAGCATGCAGCACACTTCTTATTTTGACTCTGCCACATATACCACTCTCCCATTTAACACAAGCATCTCGCCTCCTAATGTCATAGGACCTGCCAATATGATTACACTTGACATATTCAGCTGCTTATTTTTACTCCCATGTAAATGAAGACAGATCTTGTCTCGGATCATAGTTAGCTGAGTGTAGGAGTGCACTGCCACCCATGTAATCCTCCACTAAGTCCAGTTCTGTGTTATCAATTGTACAGTCATGTTATCAGTGTCTTAGCAGGTGGAGGACGAGCAGGAGAGGTTGAATGGTCTGGGGCTCTACAACGGCACAGGACAAACATGTTGAATAGGTGATGAGATACAGAGTTTCAGTTTAAAGGAGCTCCTTATTTAGCTAAGTAAAAAATGCACCTGAGCACTTTCTAACTTAAGGTACAAGGTGTTCTACTATACCCATATGTGGGTTAAACTATGTGCAACTTTGTGACAAGACTTTATGGAGAAAGAATCACAAATACAGCAAAAGGGAAAAGGCAATAAGATACAGTACGTTGTCCCCTGTTTCATATACATTTTTAAAACAGTCTGAGAAATATCTGAAAAAGAAACTGAATCACTGGCTGTTGCATTACGTGTTGAGATTAACCTGCTGACAGAACTGAATTCCCACAGTAAACATAAAGCACTGTATCATTACCAAAAACAACAAACCAGGAGTCATGTGCTCACCTCTGATTGGGTCCGATGGGGGGATGTGTAGGTATCCCAGACTTCCTTACGCCCCTGTCTCTCTCTGCTTCACCCTTGCCTCCGGGTTCTCCTCCATCCCTGGGCACCGAGCTGGCCCGTTTGGACCCATGTTGGCGTTCTGAGTGATCCTCACTCCGACTGCGCCGGATTCTCCCCTGCGGCTCGCTGATGCTCTTGCTGCGACACAGCCGGTTGATCACATTCTGGGAGACAGCCTCGTCGAAGCGCTGCCGGTGCTTCTTGGGAATGAAGATTCTGGCAAACATGGTGGCATGTGAGGAAAACGAAGAGGAGTGATATTAGTTGGTTTTTTTTGGTCCACAAACGCTGCCTTAGAAAACTGTAGGAAAGAGGACAGATCTATATCACAGATCCACCTCGATCCATTTTGAAAACATAGACTCCATATCAATAAATCTTGAATTTCCAGAGAAATAACAGCAGCGAGTCAAACATCCAGCATGAGCAGAGATTAAAGAGTGATGATCAGCTTGACTGCACGCAAAGAACCTGTACAATCCAAGTTCATACTAATTCAAATCAACAGGCTTCCTCCTTAAAGACTCAGATTAAAAAAAAAACAAATTAAACTTTTGATGGACAGGTAATGTGTTTTTCTTCCTGTGGGTGACTGCTGTCTCCAGAGAGAAGAAAGAAGAGAAGCTGAATGGTAAACCAAAGAGAAAAGATCTTTTCCCCAAGGAGAGTCGGTGAGGAGGAAATCTTGGCGTCAGTCACGGCTCGCTGGAGTCTCACTACTGCAGCGTGAGGTGCCAGAGCAGAATACAGCAAGAGAAAAAGTGTGGGAGTGAGCAAGCATGGGATTTCTCCTCTGCTCTCGCTCTCTCTCTCTCTCATCTACAGTCTCTCTCTCTCGTTCTCCTACACTTCCGTCCACCCTCACCTCCATGTCACTTTGTCAGTGTGACCACACAGAAGCCGTCATCATCATCTTGCTGACATGAAACTTCACCAGTTATCCTATCTTGACAAACAAAGGCAACATGCTGAGTTTTTACTATTTCAGCTTTTGGGGGTTAAAAATAAAGTACAATTAACATTCAAAAACAGCAGCAGTCAGTAGGTGGACAGACTTTGACTAAATTAATCACTCACATTTCAGTTTTAGAGAACAGTCACGTATTGTTCCACCTGTCGTCAGCTCAGGTAATAGCACAACACAAGTCACAAACGCCACACTAGTACTTCCATCATACCATATTTTCTAAAGAGGGTACTCCAGAGATTTAGTACTGCATCTCCACAAAGTTGGAGAACCTACATTAAAAAGGAACAGAGGCTGAGATATCCTGATTTTTGTCCATTGTATGAGTCAAGCTGCCAAAATACTGACACTCACATTTCCCATAATGCAACTCAAAAAGTCTTTCATTATTCACTCCCTGCCTTTCTTGTCAAGAGTTAGATTGGAAGATTGATACCACTCCCATGTCGGTACAGTAAACAGCCAGGATAATGTTGACACAAAACTGGAATCAGGGGCGAACCATTATTCAGGCTTTGTCTATATGTAACAGTATCCTCCTACCGGCACCTCTAAAGCTCACTAATAAATATGTTAAAGCTTGTTCATGACATCTGTGCAGAAACCTAAGTGTAAAATAACATGTTGCGGTTTTGTGCCAGAAAGCAATTGAGTTGGTTCCCTGTTTCCAGTCTATGTGCTAAGCTAAGCTGAGTAACTGCTGGTAGAGGCTTCAGCATACATATAAAAATAGTATCAATATTCTCATCCAATTGTTGCCAAGAAAGTAAACAACAAACATATTCTAAAAAATCTCCAACTACTCCCTTAACAAAGATCTGTCAGTGAGACACTTCACTGACATTGGGACAAATGATGTGGATATGTTTACAGACAGGTTCTGGTGTTGCAATTGTGTGTTCTCACATATTTCTTCAGATCCATTATGATTTTACACTAAACACCACGACTGGGTAATGTTTAAAAATGTTCAGTACAAGTGCAGATACGTTACTTGACTTTTGGCTTGGTTTGAGGAAAGCCAACCTTGTCAAAGGTTTTCATTTAGCGACAGAAGCCAATAAGGATGTAACCATATTTGTAATTACAGGATATCTTGATAGAAACATTTCTTGATACCATCGTGGGATTGTGACTGTATCTACCAGGATATTACATATGGTTATTTCACTAACATAAGTGCATTCAGGTCGCAGGATTTGTTACTGCCGGATGCAGGCAATACTAGCCCTGTTTATAACAGATACAGTCCTGGATACAGTCAGGACACGGCTGTGTGCTACACTTTAAAGGAGATGGGCAAACAAACCAAACACACAAATGAAAAACCAACTGCTTGGTAACCACCCTTAACATCTTTTTTTATTTTAATAAAGAAGGGAAGCAGAAATGCTGTGCATTATAATGAAAGTAATATAAAAATGTTGATTTATTATTTAGCAAAGTGCATTTTTTTCAAATTTTTTTTAAACAATCATGTCAAAATTCAGATCATGGACCCTTTGTAGCAGTATTATACTGTGATACTGGTATGACAGTATGATATATGATATGTGACATATATGATTTTGGTATCGCTAGATCCCTATAGAAGCCAAAGTTTGATGGTGTCTAAACACCAGCAGAGAAGCAGAACTTCACCAAAATAGGTGTGAATAAAAGTGGAAAAATGGCAATTTGCTTAAGAAACAATCAGACCAAAGAATATTTAAACAAGACCACAAATCTGACTTGACAAGTTTCAGTACTAGCTACAACAGAGAATTTACTTGATAAAAATACATAATCTGCTCTGTAAAAACATACATTTTATGGTAGAATAAACTCAAATGTCAATGTGTGTGCTGTGCATGCTGTTTGGGATGGAGTGCTGGCTGTTCTTCACACAGCAGCACTGACTATGAGAACAAAGCAACGCGAGTCGTCCCCCAAACATAAGGACTGAGCTGACAACACAAAACGACTTCTCGTTCAAGTGACTGGAATGGCTGCCAAGAGACAAGGCAACCACTCCCAAACACATACACACATACACACATAACTATATTTGTGAGGGTATTCATGATGTACGCATTAACTATAACCTTAATGTGCTCCACATATGTCTAACGTTAAAGGATGAGTTCACCAGTTACTGTCAGCACAAAACTGTGATGTAACCGCCTTTTTTTAGAACGGTAATTCAAACTGCTTTAATATCATTCACTTTAATGTAAAAGTTTGACATTCAGAGAAATACACTTATTGGTTCTATAGCCAAGAGTTAGACGAGAGGATTGACACCGCTGTCATGTCTTTAAAGTAAATATTTAGCTACCACTGGCAGATGCTAATCTTAGCTTACCACAGCATGAAGAATGTTGTTTCAAGTCTTTATATCTTAGCTAACATTATCAACTGTTGTAGGATGCAGGTTAATATTTATATAACTGTATAGATATAACTGTACAAGCAACTGTCCCACTTAACTCCCAACAAGTAAGTGTATTTTTTGAAAGTGAACAGTGAATAATGCTCTCATAAAAAGGGAAAACAAAAACATACTGTACATGCCCACAGTGGCCTACACAGTATAAATACACAGCATTTCACATATGCTAGCATCTTTTTCAAACCAGACCCGAAGGAAATGTAAAAAATTCAGACTGCACTGTTAAATTGGACTAAAAAGAACCAAAATCCCAGTTGATACATCCAAGTGAGTCAGAAGTCAATTATTTGATTCCATGTTTGTTTAATCACAGCAGCTTTACGATCCAACAGAGAGCTGAACCCGAACACAGACTTTCACAAACAACCATTTAGACTCCCACCTACACCAGTCTGTTGTGCTCTGACAAGCTGATTCGTTGCTGATCGGATGAATCAGCCACAAGCAGACAGGGTGCCGTGCGCTCTGTGAAAAACAGCACCAGTTGAGTAATTAGCAACAAACACGTCAATAGAGAAAAGGGAGAAACAACAGATACCGGCTGAACATGTCAATGAGAAACCAAAAACCATGTTGACAGCTAAATAAAGCAATTAGGACACAGTTAACGCACAGAGAGAAGGAGGAGAGAAACGTGAGCGCTGGCTACTGTTCATTTCATTATCCACTTTACTTTAAACACTTAAAGTACTTAAATGGTATTCAGCCCTGTGTTGTTATTGGAGTGTAAAAGTCTCATTTATGTGTGGAACACATCTGTATGAAAAGCTCATTTTGGAAATCAGACAACTTTCTTGTAGCTGTATAGACAGGCCTACAGAGATGGAAACGACGGAATCAAAGCCAATTCTTTCTTTTTGGAGCTTATCTCCATCATGATATTTGAGAGATTTAATAATCCAAGCTGATATTCTTTTTTAAAACATGACCCCATAACTTAAGCTAACATTTTTGGGCCTAACCCAAACCCTAACCTGTAAATAAGTATGAACACCATGACGGATTGCAGAAGTGAAGCCACTGTGACCCGATCAGCTCCTGGTGGCTGGGACATGAGCCAAACTAACAACAAAGTACAAATCAGATACATTTTCCCCAGAGGTGATTTCTGTCATTTTTGGTAGATATCATCACGTTGATGTGTGTATTTTGTTTGGATAGGTAAGCGCAGAGTGGACATGACAGACTAGTGGTATTCTGGGGTAAGACTGAGACCTCTGAGTTATGAGTCCTCTTTTGGTTGTATTCATTTATTTGTTTAGAGTATCTGTTGACTCTTTTATTTTCCTGTGCAGCCCGTCTCCATTGTTTTCTTCTTCTGGTATTTTTGGCAAAAGCTTCAGAAAGGTTCCCTCACTTCAGTAAATGCTTTGCTATCCACCTGGTTGTTTATGTTGCTCCCCCTATGGGTTGTGACATAGCAACACTGTTTTTGATGGATCTTTGACTTTTCTGTACTGCAGTTTCTTGTTACCTATTCGTCAACATACTGTATAAACTGATACTGATGTATCAGTGATGCTGGCTGGTAAAGTCAGCCACGCTACTCAAGATTTTATCTGCAGTAAGGTAGATAGTATCTAGCCTTTACAAAAAAAAAACAGCATTCATGTCATTTTGACTTTGAATGTTGGTTTTCTTTTTTCTTGAATCTTGTTGGGAACTAACTAACTAACTAACCAAACCCTGTATGTGATGCAAGCCAAATATTAAATATATGCTTCACAGACAACAGACTGCATCAATACAAACTGAAACCAACGTTTGCTGCTTCTCTATAATAAAAGCAGATACAACACACTGCGGCTGAGCAGAAGTATGTCCACAACAATATATACCGCTGGTAATCAGATGCAGAAGACACAATACCCTGTAAAACCCTACATTATACATCCGTTGAACAAAAAAATGAATATTCCAAACCTCAAAAGCATAAATAATACAAAGATAATTACGATGTGGTGGTGACCCCCAGTGGTATTACATAAATACTGTGGGAACTTGCAATGTACTACATGTACTGGCACCCTCTTTACAGGAACTCTCCATTCAGCACCACAACACAAAACAAAAGACCAGCAATGCAGCAAACTAATTCTGACACAATTCCCTGGCCTCCTTGAATTATGTATTTCTCCTCTCTTTAAATGGCTCACAGCTGGTCCACTATAGTGCAATATGACTGAAGAGGCCAATTAAACACTTAGTAAAACTACATTATGACCATTACTTTACACACAAAGTTCAGTTTGCTTATGATGAGACCTGGCACAGCAACAACATAGTCATACGAGTTCAAAAGTCTCCCATTGACTTTTCATTATTCTGGATGCCTTGTCAACTTAATTACTTGTTTTTTGAAGAGCTGATAACATTAGGCTGTGTATCTAACATTTTCTCATATATTACCTTGAATTTCAGTGAAGTCTTTTGAAGTATCTTTTCATTTTGGATCACGTGTTCAGCTAAAGGTGCAGTAGGCCACATACTCTCAGACTGCTGTCACTGTGTCTGCAGATTCTGATCAGGTTGAAGGTGCACGTGTATCTGACTGCAGCCAGACAGTGTTGTCTGAGCACAAACTACTGGCTACAAGTGAGCAGACTCCTGAGATATAAATAAATGTGCTGTAGGTGTAGCAGCCCACACAGTCCCTCTCTGTGCTTCCCTGCTATTTGTCATCTATTCATATCACAGTACTAGTACTGTGTGTCTCTGCCTCTCCCACAGACCTGTCTCTGTACCCCTCTGTGTGTGTATGTCTGCCTCTTGTTACCAGCATTATGCTTTTACAAATGCAGATAGGTTAATCCACCTCAGCCATCTGTTGAAACAACCACCTCATCACAAAAAGTTTTTCACATTAACTCTTGGAAACTAAATGAGTGCTCTGATTTGACCTCATTTATAAAGAACAGAGATCTATAATTATCTGAAGAAGAGTTGTGGAAGAAGAACCAAGCAGGGAGGAAGGGACAGATTTCTCAAAAGGGAAGAATGACTTAGAGAAAACTACAAAGAGGAGACCTCATTCCATTTCAAGTGTCCAGATGTAGCTCAGTTGCAGGCAAGCGAATCGTATTTATAACACACAGAGTTCCAGGTGCACCCATGACTGCAAAGTTAAAAATTACTCTACTACAATATAAAACTATGACATACTTTTACAGTATGTGGTGCGTGTCTATATGTACTTCACACTTCATATATAAAATGCTTTTTTACACTCTTACTGTTCTGTTCTGATGATGCTAAGGTTGAGGTCTGTAACAAGACAAAGATCCTTCCTGAGGTAGCCATGCAAAACCAGCCTGCATCCTGAGAGCTCCGTTTCACTCCAGATCTAAAAATATCCACCTAGAATCTACTGAGCCTGGCAGTTGGAAGCCGAACCAATCAGCCAACCTCTTTAAAGCCACACGTGACAATTGGCTACAAGATGATGGCAAATGATAAAACACTGTCTCACTTCAAGGTATTCAGAGCAGTGGTGAGCCCCCAGAATGAAGCCATATCTACTTCAGCCACAAAGTGGTTTTCCTTTTTTGGATAGTCGAATTTTATTTTAACATCTTTTAGAAGCCAGAGGAAAAGAAAAAGTGGAAGATTACAATGAGAAAAGTCTGAAAAATAATCTATTTGTTTCTTTCAGTCACCTCACCATCCCTTTGTGAGAGTCCAGTGTGTTTTTATCTTCAACAAGCCCAGACTCAACGGCTATCAACTCCCAAACTGAAAACACATTTCCATAACCTACTGGACATTTAGAAAAAATCTGTTATGGTCATTGTTCTTCCTTCAGCTTGAACTCTATTAGTGTTCAATATTCACTTTGATAAAAACAGTTTGCACCGTACTTATGAGCCACTAATCTGTTTCATTTTGTGCAGTGTAGGAGCTTAACACCAACTCCAGCCACTTACTGCGGCAGTTAAGGTTAAACACCATCATTATCAACACTACTGAAAAAGAAGCTTTGTGCACAGCATGAAGTGGAGATTAGAAGGAACCAGTAACTGCAGTACTGTGGCTTATTAGGGCCAACTATGACCAAGTTCTGGTCACTCTTGTTCTTTTATCAGACAAAACTTTAATAGTGTAGTTTACTAGTTAGTCTAGAAAGTGCTTTAATAAATCTCTATGACCATAATGTTACCGCTACTGGCACATACATCAGGTGTTACAGAAAGGAGCATGGATCGGGCTGCATATTTCTGTCTGAACCCAACCCAGACCCAACAAGCTTACATGTCAGCTTTGTTTAATGATCAGGGGAAAAACACTGTACAACCTCAACTACATCTGGCTCAGGCGGGTTGGGACATTATATACTGTAAGTGCTTCAGCCATCTAGCCTAAATTTTGACCCATGTGTCTGAACCCGGCCCTAACATAATTTCTAAACTTCGGTCCGAACCCTCGGGTACCAGCGGGTCCCTTCAGGCTCTGTTCAAGTATCCACTCTCTAAGGCGGACATACACAAACATGGTATCATATATACAGATAAAATGTAAAATGAATATATATGTAAAAGTCAGCATGATGCTCACAAGCATGAACACACACACCCACCCACCCTCAAATATGTGGATTACATCTTCAAAGCAGAGCATCACTCATCCTAATGACTTCAGTCACTCAGAGACAGGCAAAGTAGTTGTTATATTAACCATGTTACAACACTCATCCATCCAAGCGTGGTTGCATCACATCAAACCACATAAACCTGCTGTTGACAGCTCCCTTGCATTATAAATAATAGCTCTACACTAAATTGCCTTGAAGAGATCTTTAGAAACAACTGGGGAATAGAGGGTTCGAAGCTAAAAACATCAGATACTCAACATCAGCAGTCATCGTCGTGTAATTTATCAGACTGCATTAAATACCCACTCACCTCCCACTCCACACACACAATTATACTGGCACTTGTTAAAAACAGTGCAGGTAGCAGACTAGAAGAAGCTCATAAAATGCATGAATTCCTTCTAAAATAAACAACCCACCACAACCACATTTCAGACAAACATATATAAAGCTTAACAGAAAAGAATGTAAAGATGTACTCACCCCAGACAATTCATCACTTTAGCTATAACTCATAGCCCAAAACCTTATTCAACCTCAGAACAAGTTGCACCTACAGAAGTGAGCAGAATAGCGGACACACCTCCTGCTACAGTGGTGCTTCCCTGAGGAAGATTAAAGATACAGCAGAAGCTTGGTGCATGCAGCAGGCTGCCTTTACCAAGTGCCACATACACAGAGAGCAGGGAACAGTCCCAGCTCTGAGCACAATAACGAGAAGAAAAACCATCAGGGTAAAACACAAAACCCCCCATCAGGGTGCGGGAGAGGCAGGAGAGTTGTGAGATGGGTGGGAGGTGGAAAAACAACAGAGAGATGGCTTTAATGTTGCTACTGGTGCTTGTGCAAGAGGAGTCTCCTTTATTATACAAATACCATTGTGGAGTTCTCAGTCGATGGTGTTTGAATTATTCATAACCAATTAAAGGCAGAAAAATCCTGCCAGCTGATGTCAGTTCAGGCAGGGAAACAAAAAGAAACTACCTAAACACTGACTTCATACTGCTGGAAACTCTTCTTACTGTATATTAATACCTTCAAAGGGAGCTGAAAGGTTGAAGCCAGTGTAGTAAAAGAATAAAGGGCTTGGAACAAACTGTGGATTTGGAGAGAGGCAGGGACACTGGTGATTTTGGCACATATACAGTAGTATAGTAGAGTAATAATACTGTACATAACTTTGGCTCCCTGAATTTTTTTTATGGTTAGTTACATGGTGTTATTCCAGCTCATGGAAACATCCTGTTGTTGGGTGTAAATCTGGGTTTCTTCTTTCTTTCTCTTTTGCTGAAGGGACAAGGGATACAGAGCAGCATGGCCACTGGTCCTGAGAGATGTTTCTATGACTCGAGCTGTCAGCCAAATCTCTCTGCGACTCATCATCACAGACAATTCACGCTGCCAATCCTCATTTACTGCTAAGCTCAGGCCCCTCCATGTCAGTTCAGCCTCTCAGTTTCACTAACGCAGATGATGACACTTTAAGCGACTTGGACGGCCATGGTGGGTTTACCCCAGGTGGCATATGGGAACCACTTAAACCTAAGATGTAGCATTATAATAGCTCACAGTGGGTGAAACTGAATGAGCATCAGGAAAAGCCTGTTTGTGACATTCTATGAATGAAATCCCTGTGGGTTATTTTACTTTTCACTGGGACTTGAAAATGACAAGCGTGTGAGAGACAATGTCAAGAGAGGGAGTAATAATTAAACAACACTGAAAGCCTAAATTACTATACTGCCTTGAGTCTTACAGTGGATGAGAGTCTGTGTCAAACAAGTGGGAAGGTAATGCACTTTTTAGGAGTCTTTCAGAATGACAGGAAACATTTCTACTAGCAGTTTATTCTGTCATATATTTAATGTAATTGGGACAGAAACCTCTGGCGCCTACCTGATACTGGAGATGAGCTGTCGGTGCTCATCAGTAGTGAGTATCTCTGGCAGGACAGAGGCCAACCACTCAACTCTCTTCTCTGCCGCATACTGCTTCAGCACAGTGAAGAGTTTCTCTTTTACTTCAGGTTCATCACCTAAAATCTGGTCAACCTGACAAAGATGGCACAATGATGTCAGAGGCTGTAAGCAGTTTGAGGACAAGATGCTTTGGCCTCACAGTTTCACACAGTGCCAGACTGTTACCATAACAACACTTCATCTGCAGAAGAAAACAGACTTACTCAGGGCTATATTATTTAATTAAGTTTAGTCTTGAGCTCGAGTCAGATCTTGTGTCTCAGTCTATTTTCTATTTGTATATTTCCATTCTATCCAAAATGCTTCAAATTTATAGGCGCCTATCTGTTTTTTTCTTGTACCAAGAACTATTTAGAGAGTTGCATATGAAATCAGACACTATGAAGACTTTACCACAGCTACTGTTTAACCTCCTACAATGTATTTTTTATTTTTATTTTGGTTTTAAAGCCCCTGAAAACCTGGTTTCAAAACTAAAGTATTTCTCTGGAACATTAAATATTCGTGACTAATTAGCAATAATAAAATTTAGAATAAAAAAATCCTTAGGGATTACTTCTAATTATTTAAGCCTTTAACACACAACAACCTCTACTGATGTGGTTTGATCTGATGTGAGTGATAGTATCATCTCCCAAGAAACAACTGGTGCACAGAACAGGCCTTTATGTGACATTGCCTTGGTCTAAATGAGCCCTGCTCATGTCAAACCACTAGGAAAAGGTTTTAAAAAATACTTGTGAGATAACCAAAATATGTTTTCAGGGCCTGGATTATGTCTAGAATTGTGCCTAGACTCAGCTGTGACTGCGTAGTTAAATGTACCTTCTTGTTGAACTCCAGAGCCTTGTGTTTACGGTCCAGTCTCAGCCCCTCGCCTCCCATCTGGCTGTCCTCTATGCTTATGCTGTGTTTCTGCCTCGGGCCGAGGCACAGCACCCCCAGGCGGAGTGTCCTCCCCTGGGAGGCCTTGATCAATGCTGCAGCCATCTCATGCTGCCTGACAGGGATGCCACTGACCTCCATAACGTAATCCCCAGCCCTCAGGCCTGCACGGCCTGCTGGGGAGCAGGGTGAGCAGTCCTCCACCAGCAGGGGGCAGTCTCCAACAATGGTGAACCCAAAACGACCATCTGGACCTGGTATGATGTCCATCTATAATACATGAAAAAAAATGAAATTAATTGAAATAATGAATTCAACTCAACGCGTGACCCTGGGACACAACCCCCAAAAACACCCTCAAAAGTCTAGACCTACAGGCTACTACACTATGACATGCAAATCCACTGGCATTAACCTGCATATACACTATTGCTGTGGATGCAAGAGCTGTGAGACCTGCTGTATGCGGGACACCACTCCAATGCTAGGAGGAATGTTCTTCTGGGTCTGTGCAATGGCGATGACGGCTTGTGGACACAGCGTCGACACATTGTGGCCCTCGATCTCCAGGACCTGGTCCCCCGCCTGCAACCCCGCAAGATGGGCGCTGCTGCCCTCCTCCACAGACAAGATGTAGCTTGGTCCATTCCCACCCAGCTGAAAGCCAAAATCCTCAGGCCATCCCTGGTTAGATGACGGCATGCTGAGGACTTCAGGTAGAGGAAGGTAGGAAAAAATAGGTGAGGTGGAAGAAAAAATGGATGAAAATGTTATGATGGGGAGAAAGAGACCTTTCGTAAGTAGGGTCCTGCAGTTTGGCGCTTCGCTTGGGACAAAAATCTGATATATTAATAGACAGCCTGCTAAACTGTGAAGAAAAATTCATACAATCAAACAGAAAACCTTACCTACTGTGCCCAAAGAAGTCAATTCTACTGACATTGCATAATACCCTTAGAGCAAATAATCCCTCACAACTTTTACAGTAGCCCCAGTTTTGTGCATCGATGCCCTGTCTCTTCTCCCTGCTGCTGTCTCCTGTGTCTGAAGCTGTACTATCGTGTGTGGCTCTGTAACCCGCTACCCTGAACCACGACACACTCAGCAGTCCCTGACCTGGTTCACAAACTCCATAGCAGCCAATCAAATGAAGGCATCACAGAGACTGTGACCTTAATTAGCTTAAGAGACACAAGTTGCTCCAGTACTTTTTTCACAAAGTTCACATAAAAGTCTTTCCTGTTGAATGAGTGTTATGCAGTGGAGACACAGAGCACACCATACAGAGGCAAATACAAACAAAAGGTAAATACAGGGGCACCTGAAAACCAACCTTTGAAACAAATGTTTAAAATTACAGTGAATTAACCCACATGCTACAGTTTTCACAACCATCTCTAATATATTAAAGAATTACAAAAAAAGAACAGGCTGGCTTTTGTTAAATATAATCAGCAGTAAACCCTCTAGCTCAGCTGGAGGCTAATGATGTGTTCAACAGCCCCCAAAGCCACAGCACTGCAGGATCCACACAGTGGACAAAGCTCATGAAAGACTTACAGATATCTTTAGGTGGACAACGAGAGCCCCGTTTGTTCTGCCGAAAAGAGTGTCTGCCTTTTTTGTTTTGCAAAAACTTCTTCATCTTGAATGTCAAATAGCAGGTGGCCTGCTAGCAGGCTGGTGTCCAATCTGTCTTCACAAATATAATGTTAAAAAACACCTCCTCCCTCTGACCACCCCACAACCCAAAGTCAAACAGAAAAAGTGATCAAGTCAAAGCCTAACCCCATTCTTCCACCCTGAAACCACTGCAGCTGCCTCCTGATCAAAAGGTGAGTGTGCATGAAAAGCGAGTGCAGTCTCTCTGTGAGCGTGTCAAAGAGTTAGTCCTGAGTCTCACTCCTGATTCATCCTAGGGCCAGCCTGCTTGCACAGTGTTAATCAGAGAACTGGGACGCATGCACCAGAGTACCTCAGTTCTTTAATATTTCTCTCTCCAAAAAGGGTATTGTGAGGCCTCATTTTTCTATAAATATACCAGCGTGTCTTTTTCCTCCCCCTCCACTCTTGGCTAGGTGGCTCTCCGAGGGACCGCTGCTGGCCCAGAATCACTCTGCGGCAATGTGAGAAAGCCTGATGAGGACTAATTGGAGCGTCTGCTTGCCTGGAATTCTGTGTGGTTGCATGTGTGTAAGCACAATGAAATGTTCCGTCCAATGAGAAGGAGTGGAGCCAATCTAAGACTTTAATCTGTTGGATTAGTAGGACTATGAGCTGTATCTTTGAGTCTCCTCCGATCACATCATTAATAATGTAGGAACACATGCTCCCTCCCCTTGGTGGGTATCTACACCGGCTATAGTAGAACCACAATCAATTTTTGTAACGCATTACTAATGTGTGACCAAACACTGTGGTGGAAATGAACAGTCAATTACAGGGGCTGAGTTTAGGTCAAATCTAGAGAGAAAACATGGCTATTCAGGCTCATGACTGTACAGAACAAGTGAAGATCACCTTAGAAAAATAATTTTATGTGATTATGTCAACTTTCAAATCATCCTGATATCATGATCATGTGTAGAACAATGCTTTACCATCAGCCTGAGTGTCTCATTTGATACTACCGCTGGGGGCAATACGTTGGAAATTCACCAGGATAAGGATAATCACCTTTGTTGGCCATTTATGTTACACACAAGGAATTTGTTTCCGGTACAGAACCAAGGCAGCCATCTGCAACGCCAACTCAACCGATGGCTCTAACCATCGGGGGTACCGGGGGGGTTCAGTGTCTTGCCCAAGGACACTTCGACATATGGACTGCAGGCACCGAGATTCGAACCTTCAACCTTCTGGTTGGGAGACGGCTGCTCTACCGCACCACTGTCGCCTCACATAGTTAAGCAACATTAAATCATCCGGCAACATTGTTGACTCATTGTGATTTTTAAGTAAAACTGACAAAAATACAAAACATTAATGGTTCCAGTGTCTAAATTCAAGGCTTTTCTTTGATATCTGTGGTCGTTTTGGAGTGTTTTATGAAATTATACAGAGCAAAAGAAAGGCCGAAGTCGGTCAGTAGATTAGTCAGCAATGAAAACATTCATTAGTTTCAGCCCTAATTATGCGCAACTGATTAAGGATTAAAAACATTAGAGCCATAAAGGCCTCACATTATCCCTGTGACAATAAAATGGCTCTGTGTCAATGCAGAAGGGTATTTTTGTTCACAGATGGAAAACTAATTAACCATGAAAAATATTTGCTGGTCCCAGCTTTTCAAATACTTAATATAAGGATTTGCTACTTTTTAAATAATTGGAAGATGCATATCTTGGGATGTTCACCAGAAAGAAATACACAACTCACAGACATCTCCTTGGCCTCTGGAGGTTTAGATTTCTTCACAAATTCTGGCATATGAGACTGATCAATGAATCACAAAATCAGGACTTGCAGTCCTAGATTTTTTGTGTGGTTGTGGAACAAAGTCATATGTTGTGCTCCAGCAGAAGTGCTTTTACTTGACCAATATTTTTTCTTTAAGCAAAAATATGTAACACCATTAAGTACCTACACATTCACTGCACGACCACAGGAGTGTTTTCATTTATTGTGGCTAATGTGACCTTTTCTGGGGACTGTGTAGGTGTGTACAGGTAGACCATTTTCACAGCTGGCATTCTGACTTGTCAGAGTAGGAAAAGCACAGGTGCTATTAATAATATGGCTTTGTTAACAAAGGAAAACATGTCAGTATGACAGTAAGTCTGCATGCACAATAACAGGAAGTAGCTAAACAGAATTCAGTAATTTCCTACCATGACATGTCAAAGAGGCCTCCTCAGCTTCATTACCACTGTCACTGTCCTCAGCTATCTGAAGGTTTGGTGACTTCACCTAAGTCCTGCAGTCTCAACCTGAGCAGAGGTCTCCTTAGTGTAAAGTGAAAAGACCTGTATGAGTATGCAAAGCCACCAAAAACACACAGGAGTAAAGTCACGAGCAGTTCCACACTTGTTATATGACGACATTAAGTGAGTAGTAGGAGAAGTACCTGTGAAGACGGGCTTATAGGAGTGTGAGCTGTCATTAGGTTCAAATACACACAGTAAGGAACAGCCAGTCCAGAACTAAATGAATAATTAAACACAAATGGCTGTATCTCCAAACACACACGGTTCCCTTCAGTCAAACGCTCCTCATATGCTACAGCCAAGACGGTTAACTCGTGTACGACAAGACGGCAAGAACTGTGACATTTCACAGGCAATTGATTTGAGTAAAACTACCTCACCCTTTCACTCAGTTAGAACGGATGTAAAACATTTTTTCAGAGAAGTCATTTTTACTTTTCAGCATTTCTACTGAGCCTAAAATAATAAATCTTTATGAAAAGGAAAACTGGCACTTCATTAGTCATAAACACATTTATGAACATTTCTCAACTGCAAATTTAACAGCTAATAAATGCAATGCATTGTGGTCTATCTATTATAAGAAACATTGAAATAATCACACCATTGCAGCACATCAAAACCTCCAGTACAACCACATATCCCTTACCTTTTTAAACAGCATCCAGAGATGTTCACACACAGCTCCTGAGCAATGCTCCCCTCTCCAGCGCTGTGAGCTGTAATATGACTGCTGGGCCATGTCCGCAACCAGATCTGCCAGGTGTCCTGTGATGCCCTGTTGCACTGTGTGGAGCACTAGATGGCAGCGGCACAAAGAAAACAACACAAAATAACTGAGTTAATTCTGCATGGGAGTCAAAATTCCTAATTCTGGAGTCTTTTAAGCACAGTGATTTTAAGTCTGATTTTGAAGAAGGAATTATCTCATGGTTGAATGTAACTAAGTATATCTACTATATCTACTTAAATACAATTTTCAGGTGCTGCTTCATACTTCTACTGCACTGCATTTTAGAGGGAAATGTACTTTCCAACTCCGTTAAATGTATTTGACATCTTTACTTATTATTTTAGAAATTATTATGCTTTGGTATACACTGAACTACCTAACATTATGCACAAGTACAGCTGAAGTGAGTAGTCAACTGAGAGAAAATTAATCATAAAGTATGCTGATAATCATTTTCATGTAAAAATTAAAAAAAACTGCTCCTATATAATTTTGAGGTTTGACTGGTGGCTGGACAAATGAAGCGAACGAACTGTCACTTTAGGCTATAAATCCATAATAATTTAGCCAGCAGTTCTCACTATTTTCTCAATTTTATGAAGCAAATAGTTTTGTAATTCAACTGATTGAGTAATTAAGACAGGAATCAGATGGTTGATTAACCAATAATGAAATAAATCCAATTTTAGTTGCAGTCCTATACAGTTAACAGTTAAAAATAGCTCAACACACCTAGATGCATTATTAAAATGCAGATTCACATTGATGCACTAGTAATAGTAATGTAATAATATATAATACTGGAAGATAGGGGATCCTTTTCTTTGAGTGCTTTTACTTTTAATACTTTAAGTGTTTTTACTTTTAATACCTTAAGTATGTTCCAGATTATGATTACATACTACAATGAAATTATTAAAGAAGCATAATAGTGGTGAATGTGACAAGATGTTACAAAGGCGTTCAGGAGCCTAAACAGTCTTTAGAGGCCACCGGACTGAGCAAAGTAATATAATATAACGTGGTTATTTCGCTATAGAAATACAGTGGCAGATATGAACTATTTTGATGCACACTCCAGTCCAGAAGGTGGCGGTAATGCACCTGACGCTGTTTGCCAATCACCATTAAACAACAAATGAAGAAGAATGCTTACCTACTGTGTAGTTTTATGTAAGTAACTTATGTTCTTTTTAATATTAAGTAGGTTGCAAGGAGAGAGAGAGAGAGAGAAAGAGAAAGATCATATATGTATTAGCAGACAGATACTAACATTATTTCCTCTTCTGTCCTGCAGCAGTATCAGCGCCGCCGAGCTAGCTCAACATTACAGTTGTTAGCTTGGCAGTTAGCTACATTGATGCTAAGGAAGTAGCATTGTTTACAGTGCGAGCATGGGCAAAAGGTGAAGCTGGTGCTCATAGCGCTAACCAAACTAGCTATGTTGACAGGAAATAAAACACTGAAATGTGAGACATCGACAAGATCGTAGGTGGGAGAGACAGCTTAATTTACAAGGTAAATAAAGTGGGAATCGATACGCAGTTTTGCTAACACTGAGTACTGACATTTGTTAGCATGCTATCGCAAACTTTACCTGAGTCGTTTTAGAAGACACGCATTATCTGGTTTAAAGGCATTCACTGTATTGAATAAAAATTAAAAGTGACATAACTGTGCCTTCATGTCAAGTTTTCTACCTGCTCGTAGTGAGTTTGTTCAATATACACCTGTTATTTGTCTTTGTGAAGCCGACAGATGAGACATGGATTTCCTCACTCTGTTCGCTATCTACGTCGTTGTGGTGCTGACATGTATTGTCCTAGTCTGCAAATACTCTGGCCAGCAGCAAACTCCCTTTCACATAGCGTTTAACTTTGTGGTCAAGGTAAGAAACGGGAGCTTCTTAATAGTACTTCCGCAAACTGACGCCGCGTCGCGCTGCTGTGCTAATTTATCACAGTACAAATTTTCTCTCAGATCCTCTTGAACACGGGTTTCTTCACAGGTACTTGCACCATTTACTCCAAAATGGCTCCAAAAGGTTTCACAGTGGACCTTGCACCGACTGTTTCATCAAAGGTTTGTAATCTTCCCAGAAATAAAGCCATTGCCATAATAAATATTTAAGGCTTTATATGGTCTAATATTTTAGATGATTCTACTGTTTAGCTTCAGTGTTTGTCATTTGTTTCTATTGCAGGAACAACATGTTCATCTACCTGCATATCCTGCTAGAGATCACCGTCTATGCAGAGTTCAGCTATGAGGTGTTTGGCTTCTGCAGAGAGATGGACACCACTTTGACCAGGCTGTCTGTGCCTTACATCCTGCTGGTCATCAAGTCCTTCTTCTTCTACCTCTGTATCAAGAGAGATCCAGGTTAACGTTATATTAGCTGCAGTAAATATAAAAACATTTCTGTAAGGCAGGGGCAGTACACCTGGAATTGGTGAGGTGTGGGGCATAGAAGACATTTTGATTATACTAACTAGTGGAAGACAAGGCTTGTGTATAACGTCAATCAGTAATACATGTGCCAAAGAATGGGAGACCATTGATATGGAAACTCAGTATACGAGTTAAATGATGTTTGCCCATTATCTGGCCCCAAAGAGGGGGTGTCAGGCCATGCCATCATAAATAAACAAGGTCACTGACAACTGAGTTCTGGATAATAAACTTCCAGTGGTCCTTAAGGGAAAAAACAGATTACTTAATGGTATGTGCTTTGTGTTATCACTCTGATATATTTTTTTCTCAAGTGCCCCTCCCTGTGTCTCATCATCTGGCAGGCACAGTGACAAAAAAGAAGATTGCTGTTCAGTTACAAATCTATCCATATGACAGGAGGTTGTTTCACCCAGGAATTTCCTGTCCGACCTGTCAACTCGTCAAACCAGCTCGCTCCAAACACTGCAGTGAGTACTTTGTTACATTGTATATAGCTGCTATTCTGTTCCCTCAGGGTTTGATAGTAAAATTTATATTATAGCTATTTTTTCATTACCTACCTTTATAAAACAATTTAATTGAATTCTATCAATGTTAATGAAATGTATGTCCTTTAATTGTCTTGTTTGGCATTGTTCACATAGGGATGTATCATTTTACAAAACACCACCTGTATTTCAGGGGTATGCAACAGGTGTGTCCAGCGTTTCGACCATCACTGTATATGGGTGAACAACTGCATTGGCGCGCAGAACACACGCTACTTCTTGCTTTATCTCTTCAGCCTGTGTGCCATGGCAGGTGACATCACCCTGCTAACTGGAGACATGCTGCTTTATGTTGTGCTGCAGTCAGGGCTTCTTGGGGCCAGTTATATAGATGAATATGGTCAGCAGCAGCCAGCAGGGCCTCTGTTTGTTGTACAGGTAAGTCTCATGACCACTGATTTCTCATTTCTCATGTTCAAATTAAATATTTCATTTTCCCCTTTGTCGCTCCAGCATCTGTTCCTGACCTTCCCCCGAATTGTCTTCATGTTGGGCTTTGTGCTCTTTGTCTTCTTCCTCCTGGCGGGTTATGCCCTGTTCCATTCTTACCTGGCTCTTGTCAACCAGACCTCCAGTGAATGGTACAAAAGTCGAGGTTATGTTTGTCAGCACTGTCACCCAACTACAACAGCAGACCAACTCTGCATCCCGGCACCAGACCATTCCAAAAGATACTACTACAGTCGAGGACTACTAAGAAACCTGGGGGAGATTTTCTTCCTCTCACATCCTGTTAAGAAAAAAGACACCTGAAAAAGATACCGCCCTCTCTGTTGTTAAACTGAATTTACTGTACATTCCCTCAGATATATTGGCCCTAAAAACTACTGCTGACTGAAGAAAGTTTACATTAATGCTGCCTTTATGAGCTCCGGTCACACCAGATATGTTGATTTGGATAGGTGTGCCAAATTGTTCAGCAAATATATCAGGTCAGGTTTGTTAATTAAATGTCCCAGCTGCAAACTAAGGACAATTTATTTAAGCCCCTTTTTATCCTATGGCTGCCATTAAGTAATGTTTCCAAAGCTGAAGCAAACAAGATGTCTTCCGAGTTTTTCACGTGTCTGTAACTCTTTCTGAAATGGCCAATAGCTCTCGGCATTTGAATACGTTACCCTTTAGGCCTTATTTTAGTTTTCATTTGGGCAATGTTTCATCATATAGGCAGGTAGGAATTTGAATAAATTGTTTATAAAAACATTTCAGTTGTACAAATGCTTTGTTTAAGGGGTTAACAAAGTCATTAGTGGGAGGACTAGCCTACCCCGTTTTTTAGAATTCACTGGTGTAATAAATTGATAAAGATGTCATTCTATATATAGCAGTTTGTAAAGACACATAGTTTAAATTCACGAATGTTACTTCAAATAACAAGGTGTTTAGCTTTTACTGTCTTTAGATTTAGTTACCTGTGTATCTAACACATGAAGGGTAGGGTATTAGAAATTGGCAGAGAATGGAGTATTAAAGGTACAATATATTGGAGATAGGGAAAACAACATAAAATGCTAATTCATTTGACTAGATATTTAGAAATAACTGGGTTAATAAATAGAATATACGCTCATAAAGCTGTCATATTACACACCTTTCTTCTATTACACACCTTAGTACAGTAGGTAGCAGCATGCACCTTCTTGGTTGGTCTGGAGCCCACCATTAAAACTCAAGAAGAAGAAGCCTACCCCAGCTACCTAGGGGTCTTGAACTTTGGTGCAGCAGTCAAAACGTAGTGCTAAACTGTTACTCAACACAGTGTATTTTTCATTGTAGAACGGTGGCTAGTTAAAAGATACATTTATCCACAATTTAATGCTGTTTAACAATTTAACGTTTGACACTTCAGTCTTGATAATAACGTTGCTATTGCTGGATCCTGTCCCTTTAAGCCGGTGCGGAAGTACCGCAGAACTGATGTAAGGCATGAAGCGTGATGTAAGTTAACTGAATGGAAGACTGGAAGGTCACATCAGTCAGGTTATCAGTACGGTCAATTTCAACACTACAATTTTTAACTCTAAACCAACTCGGTCGCCTGACATAGCTGGCCGTTTCTGCATACAACCAACAACCAACTAGCCGTACCATCCGTGACTTCAGTCGGTAGTGTAAGCCACGTATAACAACGGCACGTTACCACCGGGGATTAACCGAACTGTTACATAATTGTCCGTCACAGTGTGCAACGCCTCAGTTGAACTCCGTGCTACCTGATGTCTGGGTCAAAATGCACACGTCTGAGCGGACCACTGGTAAAACAAGTCTTGGACTCGGTGGACAGCATCCTGTTCGACTGCGACGGGGTCATCTGGCGGGGCGACCAGGCCATCCCTGGCGCCGCTCAGGTCATACATTTGCTGAAGGAAAGCGGCAAGAAAGTGTTATTCCTCACCAACAACAGCAGTAAGACGAGGAAGATGTACGCCGATAAAATGTCGAGGTTGGGCTTCAACGTGAGAGAAGATGAGGTGTTCGGGACAGCATACTGCTCCGCCATGTACCTGAAAACGGTCTGTAAACTGGAGGGCAAAGTTTATCTGCTGGGCAGCAACGCGATGAGGGAGGAGATGGAGGCGGTGGGGATCCAGCAGATCGGGGTGGGGCCTGACCACATCTCCGGGGGGCCGAGCGACTGGGCCAACGTGCCTCTGGACCCCGAGGTGAAAGCGGTGGTGGTCGGTTTCGATGAGCATTTCAGTTACATGAAGCTGAACAGAGCTATGCAGTACCTGACCCAACAGGACTGTCTGTTTGTGGGAACCAACAGGGACACCAGGCTGCCCCTGGAGGGAGGCAAGGCTGTCCCAGGTAAGGCCGCCCTCTGGACAAGTGCTGACGGACTGAACTTTTACTTTTTGGGCTCTTGTCAGCCAGCTATTTTTTTGTAGGGTGCAGTTCATGGCCTCATGTTGACTTGTCAGTTCATGAAATATCAGGAAAGTAATTAATTCTAATATTATGTACAGTTTCCTCAGGTTATGCAAAAGGTAGAGGCTATGCCACTGAGCTGAGGCTTATTACTAAAATCAGAACTTGATTTGACTTCACTGATGCAGATGCTGCAATCTCAAGTTAAAGGTCACCTCAACTCTTGACCCTCACTCTTCCACTCAGGTACAGGCTGCCTGCTGCTGGCTGTAGAGGCAGCAGCCCAGCGTCAGGCTCAGACGGTGGGCAAACCCAACCGCTTCATGTTTGAATGCCTGGCCTCCAAGTTCGGTGTGGACTACAAACGCTGCTTGATGGTTGGTGACCGCCTCGACACAGACATCCTGCTGGGTTCCAACTGCGGCCTGAAGACCCTCCTAACCCTGACAGGGGTCAGCACTGTGGCGGACGCTGAGGCTCATCTGAAGAGTGGCTGCGTGGAGAGGCAGGGGATGGTGCCGGATTATTACATGGAGAGCATCGCTGACCTCCTTCCAGCTCTGCAGGGATGAGAATGCTGCAAAGTATGTTAGGGCTGAAGAGTGGCTTTATATCCTAAGTGCTGTAAACCTGAGGAATTTGGCTACCCTGTCACAAGCCAGTGTCCGTTGTCATCTGAAAGGAAATAGTTTTCATTAAGATTCAAATCATCTCTATAACAAAGTCACAACTGTTGTGTGACACAGGAGACAAAGACTTGAGAAACTATCCAGATTTTATCAGCACAAATAATAAACCATTATAAAAACTAATTTAACATAATATTATTTATGACATATGAACAATGATTTCCAGTATTATTTCAGGGTACAGTAATTGGTGTTAAAGAGCAGAGTAGGCACCGAGGTATAAGAGTGCATGTTCCTTTTTTGAGAAAAATTAGAGGTGAGTGTACTTTACTGTGCCCTTAGCCTGTCTGTGATGCAATCTCCCCTTAAGCAACTATAGGTCGAACTCAAAAAGGGAACTAAGCATGCAAAGAACATCTACAGTTATGTAATATATATGTTTACAAAAGCTCTGTTTCTAAGTCCACAAACACGAAGCAGAAAATGGAGCTAAAAGGCACTGAAGTAGTCTGATGTCTGTGTTTCTTTGTGTATTTTAAAGCCTCAACAGAATGAGTGATTTTATGGGGTGGTGCAGCGGTATCCAGTTTTATGTCAGTTCATTAGTGAAACGGTGACTAACAGAATGGCATTCATGTTTTAAAGGTAAACCTAGTCTTCCTTTTACCATCTGTTTTTCTTGATTTCTCCTGGACTCCCAACACTGAAAGCAATGCTCAAATCTGTAATAAAAGATCAACTGTCTTAAACAAGTCAGCCTTGTTGTCTGTGGCTTTAAGTTCAAAGTAAAGGCAGTGACCTTTCCTCTAAACCTACTGCTTCAAGTCACCTCGGGCTGTCATCATCTGGATGCAGCAGCAGTCAGAGCTGCATATCACCTCTCACCCGATGAGAGAGACTTTCCAAGCTGTGCCTGCCTCACCCCTTTGTCCTTTGTTTGGCCTGGGAAGGGCGGCCAATTCATCTTATGTATGTGTGAGTGCAGGAAACGGGCAATGGAAAGAAGGATAATGTTGGAGAAGTATATAAAGTGATATTAGGTCAGAGAAAAGGAGGAAACCACAGGAAGACAAAACTTAAAAATTGGCAAGAGTCTGAGTTTTATGTGAAATGGGTAACTGTTTTTGGGAGGGAAACAGTGAGACCAGGGGGGAGGGGGTCTGCGGGGACAAAGAGTAGCTGGTCAGGTGTACTGACTCTCAGTCAGTGCTGGTCATGACCACAGCTCCATGCTGATAGTTACGAGAAGGGAGCAGACTGAGTGAGGAGCCGTCAAAGGAGACAGGATGGTGAGGTGCTGGAAGCATTCAGAAAACCGTCTGGAGGAAGCACGGTGCACGGTAAGCACAGGGATTTTAATAGCAACTTTTGGTATAAGTCAGTAACAGCTGTACAACAGGATGGAACTTCAAAGTACAAATCCCAGTAGCAAGTTAAAAAATTTCACATAAATTCAGCTGGTGGCTTACCTTTCCTGACCATCCCGTACTGGACTGCCACATATTAGTAAAACAGCTTGTCACTCTGTGTGATGGTTCCTGTGTGTGGCAACATCTACTCAGGATGGGAGCCCTATTGTGTCCCCCGAGTCCACCTTCCCACACAAAGCATTCTGGGTCAGCCTCTCAGCCTCTTTGCTCCTGGTCATCACTGTGCTCGGTTTGACGGGGCACCTCAACCTGTCACAGCCTCCGTCTCAGGTAGGACACCAGAAAACCTCTTTCACTCTTCCACTGTCTCGCTCTTTATTTGCAATTTGAAATCTTGATAACACAAATCAGAATGTGTTTCTACAGCCTTTGCAGGTGGCGAGAATCACATTTCCAGATCAGACTGGAGTTCTGGTCAACCAGTCAGTCATTGTGGACCAGCAGAATGAGCTGGTAAGCTTGTCTGTGACTTCACCAACAAATAAGATGTCCACTGTGCTCTTCGATATAAAACATGTACGTACAGGGGCTTTTCCTTTTCCGACTTGCATATTAGCTGAAAGAGAGGAAGAATAATCTAATCAGACATCCAACTGTCTGCTGTTGTGTCACAGGGTTTGATATGTTACAGACCAGTCAACCAGGACAGCTGCTTCCTGCGAAAGATGGACCAGTCCAACTATGACAATGTACACTCCCTCCTTCACGAGTCAACTAATAAGGTAACCAGCAGCTCCATCTCGACGTGAGAAATCAAGTCTGATGTTATATAAGAGGTTCTCCCTCACCATGCTCAGGATATGTGAGACAAAACGCACCTGGGCATATGAAGAAAAGGAAGGTTAGGGTCACCCTTTTAGCTCAGCCAGGTGTTTCTAGTGTGTTAACTGGCATTTGTGGCTGTGACCCATAGCTATGACCACTGAGCTAAGATCTACTGGGTTTCATATTTTTTACACGACTTCCTCTGCACTCCATACAAAGAAAGAGGTCAAGCATACAGGGCCTCAAAGAGGCATATAGTCTTCCTCCCTCGTCTCCGCGGTTGAATTCCTGAGCACATGCGATCCATCCAGCCCCCCTCAGCATGCTCAGGATCTTCTTACAGGAGGCTACGGCAACGAGCCTGAGTTCTGGAGCAGACACAATGACCACTCTGTGTGAGGGCTCTTTGGCTTTTAAGACTGCTCTGTTGGAATAAGATACAGCCCGATGCATTGGATAGTCAGAGAAGGGATGTGTTTATCTTCCTGGAAGTAAATACTTGGATCTCTTGTACTGAGATCCATAGTTTCATACTCTGTTGGGTCTGAATTGAGCCCTGCTGCCCTTGGATATGATTTGTGTGGGATTATCCGATTCTTATATACACGAGCAGGTGAATGACCATAGCTGTGGTTTAAACAGAGATTACAGGTATGATGCAGGACCTTGTAGGTAAACAGAGAGAGGGCCTCTGTTTCTCTTCTTTATCGTCCCATTTCCTTGCATCAAAAGCATCAGTTGAGTGTTTTTGAGATCCTGTCTCTTAGTGTCACATATCTCATACAGCTCCGCAGTATTTAAATTTACCTGTTGACTGTGGTAAGTAGGATAGGCCCCTCAGATGGAGAGCAGATGTTGTTTGTCTGTGTTGAGGCACTATGGTTGTCTTGGTCTTTTACGGCACAGGAAAACTGGTTGTTATGTGACTCACTCTAGCATAGCAGTATGCCAAGTGGCTCACCATCAGAGCCGATCAGAAGCTGCGCAATTACACACAGCCTTTGTGACAAATAAGGGTGCAAATGTGAACCATTTGACCTCAGCAGCAAAGACAGCCTCACAGAAGCTTACATCTGGTTTTCTTCTTCGTATCTCCCTCGCATTGACTCCAGTTTGATTTTATTTCATCATTGTGAGTTGAAAATGATTTCTCACACTTGTGATGATGTCCTTAGCAGAGTCAGTTCCAGCTGTCTGGGAACGAGACCCAGAGGCAGACGGAGTTCCTGGGGGTGCTGGCAGCCAGTCAGGTGGATGTGTCTGTACTGGAGGAGCCTCTGCAGGCTCTGTGTCAGGACCGGTCTGTCCACTGGACCACAAGGGCTGAGGGTGAGAACAGCCTGACTTGTGATTCAGAGATAATTGCTTTGACACAAACATCAAAAGTCATGTTAAAAAACGTTACCCCTGTTTGGACAATGTGAACAGAGAAACCAGAAATGAATGGATCCCCGAGTCGATCCCACATTCACTGTCCAGCTGCCAAACAATAAATACTCAGGAGAAAACCAGTGTGTATTAATCCGCCGCTGAAAATAGACCCCTATAAATGCACAATTTATTCTTTTTTAAGTAACTGCTGCTGCTTTAGGACATATCTTACCTTTTTACAAAACTTGATTATATACACTTTTGAATTGCTTTTAAATGTTTAGAGAAATAAATGAGCTTCAGGCCCAGTTCCAGTGGGATCATTTGCTGTGAACTTTTCATATGATTCGCTGACAACCTTTTAAATGCTGGGATTATAATAACTTGCTAAAAATAACTACAGGTCAATAACTCAACCACTGATTTCTAAAATGGTTTCACAAAGGTGTACATTTTCCCCCTGCCCACAGAGAACCAGGTTATTCTAACAAATATTTCCTCCCTTAATTGCTTTGTTAAAAAAAAATTCAGAAAATAGCGAAAAATGCCTATTGTAAGTGTCCACAGTCCACGATGTCTTCAAATTATTTGCTTTGTCTGAACAACAGTCAAAAAGAATCTTCACTCAAATTGTTGAAAAGTTGAAATCAAAATGGTTCTATTGAGTGGCAGTTTTTCCTGATAAAAATGTAAAAAAACAAAAAACAGAGTACACATGGACCTACTTGACACATGGTGAGTTTAGGAGTCATATCACTACCCACAGAGGTTGTGCATGGGCAGTTTTTAAAATTAGTCAGCTGGCAGCTCCGTAACAAAGCTATGTGCCCACCTGAAACCTGATCTTTATCTATGGCTACACTGACCTTTCCACTGTTGCAGACGGTGACATTTCTTATTTAACAGATCCCCAGGAGTGAAAGATCACGCATGTTGTATGTGAAAGTGCACAAATAATTGTCAGGTCAAAAAAACTTTGGTTGTGCTGAAAAAATTTATACCATAAAAGTAAACTCCAAGCTATTTAAAGATGAGCCTAAATAGCCAGAAATATTCCAAGACTCCAAAATATGTACCTGACTCCACAGCCAATTAAAAAGCAATCAGTCGTGTAAATAGTAAGCATGATAGAAAAACTGCCTGTGAATTTGTGACAATGACCTACTTTTTTGACTGGCTCAATCCCTTAATTTGCATACAGGGGAAGAAAAAGAAAGTATGTGAACCCTTTGGAATTACCCGTTTCGCTTTGTCTGTATCAACTGATTATAAAATGTGATTTAATTTTGATCTAAATCACAACTATGAGCAAACACTATGTCTTAAAGCTAATAATAACACAAACAATGGTAATCTTATGTGTTTGATTGAACACACTCAAACATTCCCAGAGATGGTGGAAAAAAAAGTTAGTCAACCTTTGGATTTAATAACTGGATGAATTCCTTTGGCAATAACAACCTCAAACAACAGCTTCCAGTAGCTGTGGATCAGACCTGCACAAAATTCAGGGGGAATTTTGGGCCACTGGTCAGAACTGCTCATGTGAGAGTATCCCCTATCTAATTCCACAGCATCCCTGTTGGGTTAAGGTCTGGGCTCTGGCCAGGCCACTGCAAAAGGTAGATTTTCTTTGTATGCATCATTCTGTAGTGGATTTACCTCAGTGTTTAGGATCATTGTCCTGCTAGCTCATCCAACTGCGTTGTATTGAGATGCAGCAGACAGCAACCCCGATGCTATCCTGTGAGATAATGTGATAAATTTGGAATTCATTTCCCCTCGATGAGCTGTCTAGGCCCAGAGGCAAAGCAGTTGCAAATCATGCTCCTCCCTCCACTGTTCCTCACTGATGGGATGCAGTGCTCTTTCCACACCACAGTGCTGCATGTTCTTCCCAAACAATTCAATTTTAGTTTTGTCGGTTCACAAAACATTTCCAGTAGTGTCGTGGAGCATCAAAGGTTGGACGTGCGGTGATATCCTGCCATGGACACCATGCTCCATGATTGTATATGGTCATGAAGACAGATGGCAACCAGCTCCTGGGCTTCTTTCGTACCCCACTGAGCAGTCTGTTTTGTGTCCTAGCTGGGAGAGTGGCCACAGCACTAAATCATGTTTTCAAACAGTGAACTGATGAATATCTAAGCTCTGAGATTACTCTGTAACCCTTCCCAGATTTATGCAGTTCAGCTGTTGCTGATTTGAAATCTTCTTAGATCTTCTTCACCAGGCAGGTTCACACCAGGAGATGCTTCATGTGAATGACAAACTCAAAATATCTGAATGTTTTTAATAAGTCAAAGTAGCTCCAACTCACACTTCTGGTTTCAATGACTAGGTTCCAGGTTTGCGAACTCCTGACTCCAACTAGCTTTTGTGATGTCATTAGGTTCACATAGTGTTTCCAACCTAGACTGTGAATGTTTGAATGGTGTATTCAGTATGGACCAGAACAGTGCAGTGGTTTGTTTATAGCTAAAATAATTATTACATTTAAAATGATCAAATATTGTTTGTTCATAACTGAATTAGATAAAGAATTGACCATAGTTTAAGACAAATTCATATATAAATGTAGATGATTTCCAAGAGTTCATTTACTTTCTCTTCATTATAATGACCTGTTTCCATAGCCAGTCTGTTATCAACAACTTGATCATGTCATATGAATTTCTCTCTTCCTCAGGCCCAAGCAAACAGAGGCTGGTCTACTTCTGCATCGACATCTGCTTTCCCAGCAACATCTGTGTGTCAGTCTGTTTCTATTACCTGCCTGAGTGACTGCGTTTTCCCTTCCTCTCCTCCCAGCAAAAGATCAGGGCAACAAGATTGTCTTTTTGGCTCCCTCTACAATAAAAACGCAGAACAAAAGGCAGCTTTGACTGTTTCCCTTGTGCCATACAGCTGCCAGTAAACCAGTGAAGCAGCCAACATCCCAGTTCTTTCCCATCCTTCTGAGAGAGAAGAGATGGAGACAGGCTGTTGGGGTTATCACCAAAGCCCCATTGTCACTGCCTTCATGTGTAATACCCTCTGAATGTGGCACACCACAGATATCATAGAAGAATTTTATTATTGAAGAATGGTCCCTTTTTGTACTGTACATGCCTCTGATTGTATTTCCTGTAACCAACTGCTGCAGTGAAATTATGTCTAACCATTCCTATTGCAATGTCATTGTTTTGATCTGTCCAATAAATAACTTGGGTATTTTTGGCTAATTTTTCTTTATTAAACTGAGAAAAGGAAGAAAACTGACAAAATGCAAAAACTTGGAGCCCGTCTTTACTCTGGAATCATTTACTGTACACAGTTAGCATTTCCTAATTTAGGTGTGAATTAAAAAAGGAATATAACTTTGATTAATCAATTCAACAGTGTATTGAAACACAATGTGAATAATCTGGTCCTTTTGGTACAATAAATATATAGGTTACAGTTTAGAGGATGGTTGATGAATACTACCATGTACGTATTTTCACCAGAACTGTACCAATTTCAAAACCTGAACACTTACAAGAATCTGGCAGGAACAGCCATCGTTATGTTCAAACACAAGCCTCCATGTTCTCAAGATGAACATTTCAGGGAAAACTTAAAAGTTTCCAGTGAAGCCAACAGACATGAGTCACTTCCTCTAAAGAGTCGTCTGCTTTTCTGTCCTTATTTCTCCTCTGCTGTGACTGTCTCTCACCTCCTTCCTCTTTCTCAGCCCAGCACGCTGTCATTGAAAGCCAGACACACCACGGCCTTTTGGTGACCGCTGTATTCCCTCTTGATCTCCCCGGTTTCCACACACCACAGGCGAGCTAGGTTGTCTGAGGAAGCTGCCAACAGAAAAACAACCTAAATTCACCTCAAGGCAAATTTTTTATCACCCTGACACCATCCCATCATTCACAGACCTCAGTATCCTGACTGAACCACAAGTTCTGCTTACAGTATACATCCCTGAATAATAATGACTCAGCTACGTCATACATAGCTCAGATTATTCTTAACACCCAGTTTAAGCTTCAGCACATCTCTATCACAATGCATTCAAAAGACCCACTACAATTCATATTTCTAATTTTTCTATTAGTTCTCTCAGTTGCACACACACATCAGAGCTCCATACCGTCCACACTGATGACAGCTGACTGCTGTACTGGAGTGTGGTGTTTTGGGGAACATCAGAGAGTTTTGAATGATTTGTTTTATTTTTTCAATAGAAAATTACTGCATTTGTGCTGCAAAAAGGAAGATAGTTTTATTCTGTAGTGAACACTATATGGTGGGACTAGGATCGAATGATAGTGCAATAATGTGACTGTCACATAATTTACTAACTCAAACTTATCTAATTAAATTAACTGCAAAAGTGTGCATGTGAAATAAATGATCAAGTGTCACAGCAACCTTCATACTTTACAGCCATTCAAATCTTTTTTTTAATGTTAATATATTAAATATTCAGTGTTCTAATACAAACCTGCAGCATTTAATTTAAAGTGTAGGATCTGTAAAACTGTAGTGTAGTAAGATGATAACAATTTTGCAGATGCTGTTTTTGAACTTTTTCTTTACAGCAATTTCTGTGCAAAATACTTGGAATGTCCAATTTTTATGTTGAAAATTACAAGCTTAGTATAATTATTTACAATGTCAGTATTTTCCCAAATCGTTCCTGTTATACAATTTTCCCCAACTCTAAAGTAACACATCTGTAGGATGAAACAGTTACTTATGGTCTCACTCTATAATGGTATCTATAGGTAAAAGACTACACACTGCATTGTAGTGATAACCCAACTGCCAGAACACATGTACTGACCAGTCACAATATACTGGGAGTCTCCAGAGAAGGCACAGTCCCACATCCAGCCTCTGGACGTCTCTCCAGGATTGTTGCTCTTGATGCTCAGTTCAGTCATAAGTGAGAAATTGGATGTTCTCCAGATTTTACAGGTCTGATCTGCTGAGCAAGTGGCCAGAAGTCTGGAGAAGACAGCAAAACACAAAAAGTCAATATCACCAAGATCAGAGCAGGAACTAGTTTTTTTTTTCCTCTCAAGCAGTCAGTTGCTTATATAGCCCAAAATGCTAATTTAATTTCATAAACGAGATTTTCAGACCACAGCAGCTTCTCCCCGAAGTATACAAGAGGGCAGATATTATATAAGTTGGCCACACTCAGCCTTTTTCTAGCTACAACAATATGATCTGCTACCGGACAGTTAACTGGCAGGTTAACATTTAGAGATGAGAAGGGCACTCACGTTGAATCAGGGCTGAACTTGCAGCGGAGGGAGTAGCGCTTATGTGCAGGGATCTTAGTCTTGGGAATGAGCTGAGTTACTTCATCTCCAATGCCTCCAGCAAGATTCCACACGTAACAGTTTCCCTGTTAACAAAAACAAAAGGACCAAATAAGGCTGTTTAATTGTCAAATATAACTTAAGACTCCATAGTTTCAGCCATTTCCAGATTGTCTGGGCACTGACCGAGCTGTTGACCGCTGCCATGTAACTGGCATCTGGGTCAATGTGAACTGAGTTGACTGAGACCTCTGGCTCAGGAATCAGCTGTTCGTTGTGGTCAGTCTTGAGATCCCAGATATGAATCACTCCGCTCTGGTCTCCAACAATCAGCTCTGCCTGAAACACACACAACACTGAACATTTGCAAACATTTTTGGGCTATAAGCGCACACACTAGCTGACCTACAATAACATTAACATGAACAAACCACCGACATAAAAAAAGTAGTGTTATGTCACCTTATGAATTAGAATTAATTGAATGTTGCACCTGGTTGGGATGCAGGCACACACAGTTGATTGGAGCATTTACTTGGAAGATCCTCTGACACTGCAGATTTCTTGACCTGAGAAAAACAGAACGGAGGGCTCACGCATGGTTTATACGATGCCAAGTCAATTGTTCATTGTTTTACCTCATTACTGGCCCTTTGAAATGTGTTACATGCATCTGAATTGAAGTGTTTATTTTGAACAAAGAATAAAATTGATGAGGTGTCACATCATTGTTTTCAACATAAGACAGGACATAGATGATTTATGTATCACTATTTTCAGTTTTAATTTTGATTTTACATAGTGTCCCAACTTTTTCTGATTTGGGGTTGTAGTGTAATTACTTGCAGCCCTGTACCTCAGGTCCCATATGCGAGCCATACAGTCTTCTCCTCCTGTGTACATCCAGCGTCCATCTTCATGAAAACCCACAGATGTGATGTTCTTACTGACTCCATCATAGTTGATCACTGGGTTGGGGTTGTTGGAATTTAGGTCATACATGCGGATATGTTGATAACCTGGAAAACAGAGTGTAAGCCTACTGTGAATTTTAGCAGGGAAGAACTTAATAATGCAGTCCGGGTATGACAGTAATATAACAACTGAGAAGAAAAGATTCTAACCAACCTGCAGCTGCAATCATACTCCTGTCAGGTGTGACTTCAAGGGAATTTACTTGCTGGAAGCAAATGATAAGGAAGCAGATCATTTCTCTAAGTGTGTTGCTAAGAGATTTTACAACCTATTTATAATTTGTAACCTTATTAAACTTATACCAAAAGGCCGTCCCTGGTAGGCTAGTAGTTAAGGCGCAGAGCTCTCGCCACTGCGGCCTGGGTTCAAATCAGGGTTGCGTCAGGAAGGGCATCCGGCGTAAAACACGTGCCAAATGTGAACATGCGAGTCGTCAGTGTGGCGACTCCTAAGCGGAAAAAAGCCGAAAGTGTCTTTCTTTATTAAACTTATACTAATAAAGCAGAGAGACACATAAGAGAAACATTGGAGCTGCTCCACAGTGAACGACAGCTCCACTGAACAGCATCCACACTGATTGTTAATAGACATATTTTTGTCTCTTACTAGTTTGGCTGTCATTTGCCCATCTCAAATGACAAGGCTAAGAGACCAAATGTCTAACTCAAACATTTCCCAGTTTGAAGAGACTGCTATACTAAATAATTTGAATATCATAGTGTAAACTGTCCGGTTTGCAGTGTCACTTAGGATCCTCAGCAACTTCTACAGCTGCATCATCGAGTGCATCTTGACCAGCTGCATCACTGACTGGTATGGCAGCACTACTGCTATGGACCACAAGAGCCTGCAGAGAGTGGTAAAGACTGTGAAGATCACTAGGACTCCACTGCCCTCTCTGCAGAGCATTTACCACCGCAGGGTGCACAGGAAAGCTGCCTCTATCCTCAAAGATCCCACTCACCCCCAGCACGGACTGTTCACTTCTCTGCCCTCTGGCCGGAGGTTCAGAAGTGTGAAATGCAGGACCACTAGACTGAAAAACTCTTCTTTCCCTCTGCCATCAGACTCCTAAACAGCTGAGGAGTTTATTACCAGGAAATACGTCATGTACCGTCGACCTGTACTGTTTACATTCTCAATTTGCACATGCATAATTGCACATTGACTGTTGCACATACAGCTCCCATGCAGCATACATTGTTATATTCTTATATTTTTATTATATTGCTGCATTTGCTGCTTAAAGTGCCTTAGACTTTTGTGTTACTTATTTAACTACTTCATATTTCATTTGTATTTTGTGGCATTCATGTGGACGGCAAAGTAAGAATTTCATTGTACAGGGAAACACGTTTCCTAACTGTGCATATGACAATAAACACTTTGACTTGAAACTATGTTAGGTTTCACATGTCACAACAGGGTGTCTTAAGTCAGAGCAAGGATACAGAGTCCTGGTGCTGGACTGTCCTGGTGCAGATTCCGCTGTGGGCTTGCCAGAACCGGACAGTATGGTCATATCCAGCCGTGGCTAGAATGACCGGGTCGCTGCCCACCGTCCCCTGGGTCACATTCATGCTTGACTGCGGGCTTGATCAGAATGAAGCTATGTATGACTCTGTATGGAAAAGCGGGAGAGAGTCGGCTACTGTAGTTTTCTCACTGTCCTTACAAATCAACTTTAACGGGAACGTAATTTAATTTGTCATACTGTGGGGAAAAACATTTAGCACAACTAAAACACAACGGTATGTTACAGGCTAAATTTAGCAAATGAGCATAGCTATGTTTAATACAGTGAATGCAACACAAATATAATTAGTTCACGTTTCTACTTCAACAGCTAACACCGCACATACACACCACTATTTAAACAATTTATACTTAATTAGCCTGCCTAATGTTGCTTACCTTTAGTCGTTGCTGAAAAGCCTGTACAGTCCTAAAATATGACCCTTAGCAACACACGGCGATGTTGTAAACGTTCCGTGTTCGTAATCAGCGCAGTGCTGCCACCTACTGACCGCCCTTCACAAAGCAAGAAACCGGACGATAGCCACACGAGAACATACGTGGAGCTTAAAAAGTTACGTTTCTGCAAGGGGTCTAATCGGTTTTTGAATGTTTAGTTACTACTGTAAGGTGATTATACTATAATGAAAACATTCTATTTAAGAAAATAATTTGCTTTACTGAAATATTTATGTAATATGGATGAAACTGCCGCCATAAAAAGTTTTTCAGTAAAAGTAACTGTAACTGTAAGTAAAACATTTTGTTATTGTATTTTTTGTGAGTATTGATGACTGTTTTTAACATTGGCTGTGCAATAAATTTAATGTAGTGAAACAATAAAAGTTTATTTTTAGAAATTAGTTCAAATGTTTTACAAAGCAATCAAACCATAAATGCATTCTTTAATAAATACATTAGATAAATAAGTTAAATAAATAAATATTGCAGAGAGTGTATCAATCCACAAAACACAAGGCCATATGTGTAAATGAAGTCTGCCATGTAAGCATCCTAATCTTAATCAGAACAGTTTGTACCAAAAAGCAGGTGAAGCAGACAACTATCACTGCAACATATGTGCTTTCCTGCTTGGTCAGTGTGCGTATGTGCTGTCCACAGTCACTACAGCAGGGCAGACATGTGCTGTTTAACCTCTCCTGGGTCGGCCAGTGAGCAGGCCAGGACACTCCCCCTGATCCCAGTCCTCAGCTTAGTGGTAGGAAAGATCTGCAGCATATTGTATGGTTTTTTAAATGCACAGATTTTTAGTTTTCATAGCTTATCAATACAGCAATAAATCTACAGTACCTTCACATATATTTTGCATCTCTCCAAAAGAAATTTCCATTTCACTGCAGTCCGCTCGTCATCAGTTAACCTGGTAAACTCCTCTGTCTGCAACAGATGAAAGAGATATGTCGTTTATCTCAGCTGGAGCACAGATACAAAACCTTTCTTGTGGTAGAATGAATAAATTCAGCCAGCAGCAGCATATACTTCTTGACTTTTCAGACCTGCACCAAACTTGAACTACCGCCAAAATAGATTATTCAAACAATCAAAATTCATTTTCAAACAGTTTGTGTCATTCTAATCTTATGTTTTTTAATCCCTGTAAATAGATGCTACTACATTTAGAACTGAGGCTGAGTAATCATTCTTGTGTAACGTGGTACTCACTGTGCAGCCAAGTGTATTCTCTGCCACTGGGGTTCTAAGGGTGCAGGAATG